CGCGCGTCTTCCGAGAGAAGGGCGGGACCTAGTAAGCCGGCCGGGCGCACGGAGTCTATACCCCGTGATCCCCTCTCATCGGGTGGACAAGGGGGCGTCGGCCTTAGCGTGACAGCAGTCACGGAAGACTGCCCGCCCTTATCCGGTGGGATCAAGCCAGTACGCCCCCCACGGTTGAGGGGAGGGCGACTGTCTCTGACGGCGAACCTCAGTTACGAGCCGCCCTCCCCTCGAGACGCGTGGCCAGTGCACTCGGGCCCCAGCGTGGGTGCACCGTCCCACACGCCTCACGCGGCCTCTGTGGCTGGAACGGGATCGCAAGCGAGAGTCCCCCGGGCCGGCGCGCGTCTTCCGAGAGGCAGATTCGTAAGAGCGAATAGCCACACACACTCTCGTACACTGAGAGAGCGAGAGAGAGAGTACACTGAGAAGCTAAAACGTACCTACACACTGAGAGAGATCTTCGATCGCCGTGCAAAGCTCGCTTCCGAGCTCTCACGCAGCCTTGGGCTCGAGCTTTACCTTTGGGGCCTCTATCTATAGAGAACACACACACGCGCTTCTCCCCTAAAAAGATACGTACAGTCGTACACTGAAAGGCTAGACGAGAGGACTAGCCCCACGGGACTGACTGGGATCCGGAGGAGAGAGGTCATCCGGATCGTGCGTGTGGCGGGACGCTGCCGGGCACCTGCCTGTGGTTGCTGTCCTTCCTCCACCAACACACAGCGCTCCCGACGGGGACGCCATCACCCTCGCCCAGGGATCTACAAGGCTGTCTTGAGGTCCGACCCTAAAAGCTCGGCGCCGGGCACCCCTCGAAAAAAATCGGCCTAAAAGTAAATCAAGGCGGCACGAGAGGACCAAGAGGACGCATCGACCCCTTTGGGCACCTTCATTGATCCCTTCGTCGGATCCCCTCGAATGCAAGTCGCCGCGATCTTGTCCAAGAACGTGGGCTTCGGCATCTACGCGCTTGCCCTAGGTAGTCTAGGTGCTCAAGCTCAGGACTGGAGCATTCTTTCCGTGTGCTTCTAGGGTGAGCTTCTTCTTGACGCCGTCTTCCGGGAAATCCAAGAGCAGCTAGATGCTGCCCTGACCAAGCCTACGTTACGCCGAAACCAACACTGTACACGACCAAGCACCTCGAACAACGAACGGCTCGCCTTGGAGAGCCCCCCTTGTCGTTGTCGCCACGGCGCTGATTTCGATCCGGCTATCTTTGGCTCGATAGAGCCGAGTCTCAAGAGAGAGAGAGGGAGGGTTGATCGATATTAGAATGATCTGCTGATTCAACACAGCCGCCCAAAGGAGCGCCGCCTCAACACGGGGTCTCGGCTCTATCGAGCCATGCTAGCTCCAGCCCGCAGCCGCAGCCCCACCCGGCCGCCCGAGGGTGTTCCCTCTTCCCGCAAGCAGACAAGACTAATCCTGGGGGAAGCAACCATATACGAAGCTCACGCCCTGTGCACACACGAGTCGGTGAGACACTTGTTCCTTTCCTCCCGTGAGACCCCCGCGACGTGTGTCCTGAGACAGGCTGAAGCTCATCCTGCGGACAGCGAGGCTCAGCCCCTCAAGGCTGTGAGCGGGGGAATCGGGGAAAAGCGACGAGCTCGACTCATATATTCCAGTCCACGGACCACGGTCCTAGCAAATCAGGTTGGATATCACATATCATACTTGTGATCGGGTAAGGCAAACGCGGCGACGGCCGCGACAAAGAATGGCAACACCTGCCGACCCGCCGCCTTGTGGAACCCCTCGTTGGGCCCGTGCGTCTTGCGCATGGTGCCCTCCGCGTCGCGGTGCGAGCGGTGGCCCGGCCCACACGTGAAGGGCACGACGCGTTCGCCCCGCAGCTCCTCCGGCAGACCGCGCCACAAGTGCGACGCGTCTGAGCGGCCGGGGTTGGGCTCGTACTTGAGCGTGAGGGTGCCCTCGTTGGCGGCAGCGTCGTTGATGCCGTCGATGGCAGCCTCGAGGACACGTGGCAGAGAGGAGCTCGCGACGAAACACGCCTGCTGGGCGCCCGCACCGCCCTCGAGGTCGTCGCCGACCAGGTGCACGGCCGACGGGAGCGCGGCCTCCAGCTGCGCGATCTGGGCGCGCACCTCGCGCAGTGGGCGGAGGCCGCGGTAATTGAGGAGCAGTGTGTGCTCGACGTCTCCGCCCAACGCCGCCGCACTCAGCTGCGCAGCGAGGCTCGGTGGCTTGCAGCCCTCCGTCGCCGCTCGATCCTCGCGCCCTCTACCGCCTCCCGCGCGATCAGCCACGCTGCGCACCACGGCCTCCGCCACGGCCTCCCGAGGAAGGACGGCGACCCTGGAGCTCACGCGCGTCGGCTGGGCCTCGCTGCCGCTCCACAGCAGTCCCGGCGCCGCATCGCTCCCGCCGGCCCCGCCGTCCGTGAGCGACGAAGACCAAGCGAGCACCGTCGACACGGGCAGCGCCGCGCCGGCCCCGTTGTCGCCGTCGCCTGCACTCCCGCCTCCGACGGCGGCGCGCACGAGCTGCCTCCAGACGTGGTTGTCTGCGTTCCGCACCGTGCACGAGTGTCCGCCCTCCTGCGCTAGCACCCTGAGCGCCGAGCCGGCCAGCCCGAACGCCCCGAGCGCGGCGTCCTCCGAGACGTTCGTCGGCCAGATGCTCACCGTCTTCCACTCCACATGATCCTCCAGCGCGAGCAGCGCAGACCCCAGCGCCGCGAGCCCGCCCTTGCACCGGAGCGACACGGAATGCCTCTCGCGATCGTAGACGCCTATCTCAGCCGCGCCAGCCGGGCGTAGCCTGACCGTGTTCTCCAGGATCATGAAGAACGTCTTGTGGGGAGCCTCGGCCAGCTGAAGCTCGCCAGACGCGAGGGACCGAGCAAACGCGGTCGCCGAGCGCGGCTGGTGTGAGCCGGCCTCCTCGTAGCGCGTCACCAAGAAGCCGCCGTTGAATGCCGGAAGGGCCCCGGCCGCCAGCTGCTCGGCGTACCAGAGCATGAACGCGACGCCCGCCTTGCAGTCGTTTGTGCCACGTCCCACCAGGTGCGACTGCGTCTCCCGGCAGGAAAATGGGTCGTGGCCGCCAAAGTCGACCGGATCTGCGTCCACAGTGTCGATGTGAGCGCACAGCCAGAGCAGCGGCCGCGAAGGGTCGATGGCGTCCGACCGCGGCTCGCACCGAAGGTTGCCCTCCACATCGGTGCTCACGCGCCAGCCGAACGGCTCGAGCAGAGCAACAAGGGCCTTTCGACAGTGCTCGATGCCTGCCGCCGTGGCGTGGGCGTCGCTGGTGACCGTCCGTATGCTGACGAGGGCCGAAAGGTGCGCGAGGTACGCGGAGAACGACGCGTCTGAGAGGGCAACCGGGCGCGGGCGCTTCATCGTGAGCCCTAGCAGCTCGAGACAAGAGAAAGCGCATACAAAACAACATCCATGACACTTCTTCTCGGCGTTGAAAACTAACCTCCCAGAAACCGTTCGGGTCGCTCCTCATCGCAAACCCTGTCAGCAGAGTCCTCCTACGGGAATGTACGCCAAATACACTGAAAAAGAAATCGATCGCTCTTGGCGGCCCTAAAAAGACCGCAGTTGTGCGAGTCGGGCAGCCGCGTGGCGGCTCGGCAGACCGTCGTAGCGGGACCAGACAGTCGTGGCACGTACCAGGCAGCCCGATGGCTGTGTCGGGCGCCTTGCATCAGATCTTTCGCTTCGTCTTTTGTTACGCCTGCGTCTTTTACTGCGTCAACAACTTCATCCTCAAGCCGGCGAGACTAAAGGCGAAGCAGGCACAGGCGCAGGCGGCACCGGCCGAAGCCGGAGAGGTGCAGCGCGTGACCAGGCCGCCGCACGTCAACGCGTGGCCTCGCGGATCGAAGCTCGCCCTGCAGCTCTACCTCTCGGACGGCGCACACTTTGAGCGGCCGCACCTGGATCCGTCCGCCGGAGGCGCGGCGGTCGTCCCCGCCACAGACGCGGCCGCTGCGTCCCGCGGGCTAGTCGCCACCGCCGAGGGCCTCGTCTACGGCGCCGCAGACGAGGCGGACTGCAGCCACACGGTGAGCTTGACGCTCGAGCCGACAGACGAGCTGAGAGCCAACCGCTCGCAGCTCTGGCTCCACGCCTACGTGTCGGTCATCCCGCCGCCGGGGATCGCAACCGTCCCGGTTGCTGCCGCTGTGACGGAGGCGCATCCCGCCCTCGCCCTCTGCCCCCACCTCCGCCGCCCTCGCCGCCGCCCTCGCCGCCTCGCTCGCTCGCTCCCGCCCTCGCTCCCGCCTGGCCCTCGCTGCCTCTCCCCCTCGCCCTCGCCCACGCCCCCGCGCGCCTGCCTCTCCCGCAGGCGCACGTCCCTCTGGTGCGGCAGCAAAAGGTGCGCAGGAAGTCGAGCACCAAGAGGCTGCTGACGGGCGAGGAGGCGGGCGGCGGGGAGGTCGAGGGCGGTGACGGGACCGGCGGTGGTGAGGGCAACCCACCAGGCGGACACGCCCTTCCCAGCACGTCTGCGGACCCCGCGCCAGACCACGAGGCTGCGCCAGACCACGAGGCTGCGCCAGACCACGAGGCCGCGCCGGACCACGAGGCCGCGCCGGACCACCGGGCTGCGCCGGACCACGAGGCTGCGCCGGACCACGAGGCTGCGCCGGACCACGAGGCTGCGCCGGACCACCGGGCTGCGCCTGCGGAGGGCGGCGGCGGCGGCTCGGCGGGCCGCGAGGTCGCGCTGGGAGGGAGCGGCGGCGGCGAGGCAGCGTCTGGCGGCGGCGGAGGGGGCGGTGGCGGCGCGGAGTCGTCGCTGCTCGACGTGATGCGGACGCTGCACAGCACCGGCACGGGCGAGTTCGACGTCTTTCCTCACTGGGCGGGCGGCGCCGTCCGGCTCGCCCTCCACCTCTCCCGCTCGAGGGATCTGTCCACGACACGTCGACGACACACGCCCGCGACACGCGCCGTAGGCTCGACCTCCTCTCGGACTTCACCTCCTTCCCGCCGAACGGCATCCCGCCACAGATGCGGCACGCCCTGCGCGTCGAGCCTGCGACGGGCGCCTACACGCCGCCGCTGTACGTCAACGAGCTGTGGAGCCTGCGCAGCGGCATGCCTCGCCTCAACGCCTCCACCGGGTACCTCAACCTCACCGTGAGTCTCGCGCCGACGAGTCTGGTCAAGTGGCAGCTCGGCATGCAGATGACACAATCCCTCGAGATGCAGGCCCAGCCTGCCAGCCGAGACGCAGCCGAGATGCGGACCCAGATGCGGGCCCAGATGCACAGCGGAGACGTCGCCCTAGGCTGAGCCGAGACGCAGCGGAGGTGGATGACGCGGCCCCTCGCGGCGCAGGCGGCGGTGCACGGCGACGAGATGGTGGAGGAGATGCGCAGGATGCTGCTCGAGACCAACCCGTGGCTGCTCGGCCTGACGATGGCTGTCTCGCTGCTGCACAGCCTCTTCGACTTCCTCGCCTTCAAGAACGACGTCCAGTTCTGGCGCGACAACAAGTCGATGAAGGGCATCTCCCTCAACTCGCTGCTCCTCAACCTCTTCATCCAGGCCGTCATCTTCCTCTACCTCCTCGACTCGGACACCTCATGGGCCAGCCTCCTCCTCGCCACCCCACGGCGGTGCAGCCTCGGCCTCGGCTCACCTCGGCGAGGCTCGCCTAGGTCATCCTCCTCTCCAACGGCGTCGGCCTGCTCATCGAGGCCTGGAAGCTGCGCAAGATCGTCAAGTCGGTCGCACTGCGCTGGCCAGCCGGGTCGTGGCGGCCGCGGCTGCAGCTCACGGCGGCCGACTCGTACGTGCTCTCCGACACAAAGGCGCACGACGAGGAGGCGATGGCGTACCTCGGCCGCGTGATCGCGCCGCTGGCGGTCGGCTACGCGTCCTACTCGCTGCTTTACGACGAGCACAAGTCTTGGTACTCGTGGCTGCTGCGCGCCGTGGTCGGCTGGTGAGGGAGGGCCCGCCGCCCGCCCCGCCCCCCGCCCCGCCGCCGCTTGGCGATCCCTCCGCTTGTCGCACAGCGTGTACTCGTTTGGCTTCATCAAGATGACGCCGCAGCTCTTCATCAACTACCGGCTCAAGTCGACCGCGCACATGCCGTGGAAGACCTTCATGTACAAGGCGCTCAACACCTTCGTCGACGACCTCTTCGCCTTCGTCATCACCATGCCAACCATGCACCGCCTCTCCTGCCTGCGCGACGACCTCATCTTCGTCGTCTACCTCTACCAGCGTTGGGCGTACGGGGTCGACTCGCGCCGCGCGAACGAGTTTGGGCAGGTGGGCGAGGAGGAGGGCAGCGAGGCGCTGCCTGCGCCACCCCAGGCGCCGGGGAGCACCGCGCCTGTCGACGCGGACGGCAAGCCCAAAGCCGAATGATTGGCTTTGGATGTACTATGTATCTCATTTGCGCTGTGTCTTTTGCGGGTTGGGCTAGCTCTCCTCTTTGACGTTGTCGCACTGTTCGTGCGCGCGCGGGGCGCGCGCAACGTAAAGCGCGGGGCCCGCGTAGCTGTGTATGTACATCGATCTCTCGCGCCCAGTCCCCCGGGGCCTAGAGTGAGCTGCAGATTTGTGTGAGAAACGTCATTTTAAACGACCAGTCACCAAAATCAGTTGATATCTCTTGTGCTGTATAGTCCTCGCCGAGCCGTCAGTGCGGCCTCGCCGCAGACTTGGCTGGCAGTGGCGGCAGACCCGCCATCATCCCGTCAAAGCTCTTCTGCTGGTGGGAGGCGAACGGGTCGGCGACGTCTATGCGCTCGGCGCCGCAGGCCAGCGTGAGCGTCCGCCAATCCTTGACCGCGTCAAAGGTGGTGCTGCGCGGCGGCTTGGCGAGGGCGAGCACAACCTTGCCCTTGGACTCGAGCACCTTGCACGAGCAGCCGGGAGGGTGGATGTGGTCGTAGAGTCGGCGGAGCGCGAGCACCCGCCTCGTGCCGTCGGGCAGGCCCTCGGCTGCAAAGTCGACCGCGTCGTCGCGAAATTCACACTGGACTGCCTCACGCCGCACGCCAGGCACGCTCAGGTACACCTTGACGTGCAGACCGTCGTCAGCCCACGCATAGTCCGAGATGTGGACCGTGCGCTGCGCCGGCGCGGCTCCGCCCGCGGCGCCGACCGCTGCGGCCTCGCTCGACGCCGCCGGCGCGGCGCTCCCCCGCTTCAGCAGCTTGGGCTCTGGCTTGGGCGCCGGCGGCTCCTGCGTCTCGACGCGGTTGGGAGCATAGTAGGCCGAGCGCTGCGCGCCCTCCTCGGGCCACTGCCAGTCCTCCGCCGCGAGGTCTCCGAGGTTGGATGCGTCGAGCATGGGTAGAGAGGTGCGAGAGCAGTGGCGAGACTTGGTCCAGGAGAGGAGCCCGAGCGAACCAGGTTGAAAATAACTTTTTTTAAAGGGTTGCCCGGCCGGGTTGCTGCGCAAATCTCGCGCTGCGCTAGGCTCAGAGCGAGTTCGCGCTGCGCTAGGCTCAGACGGCGTGCGTGCGCGGGCCGCCGGGGTGACGGCGGGTGTGAGGAGGAGGACCCCACCTCCTTCGGGCTCGGCAGCTTGTCGGGCTCTACCACTACCACTACCTCAGCCCTCAGCCGAAGCTGGGGCCGGTCCCGTAGGCCGTCCGCAGCCGAGAGAGCCCCCGCCGCCCGCGTCCCGTGTCCGCCCGATGAATTCGACGGCGGACGGGCGACGGGCGCGGTCGGGAGGACGACCCCGGCTAGTCGCCGACCACACCCACAAAGAACCCTGCACAAAGACCGCAGGGCGGGGACCTGTTCCTTTTTACCCATCTCCTAGTAGAGCGGTGTCCGTTTTATTTATTTATTTATTTGGGCGCGGCCGGCGGCGCGGGGCCAGGGGGTGGGCGGTGGGAGAGCGCAGCATTCCCAGCCCCTTTGCCAAAGGTCCCTGGTTTGAGGGCATTAGTAGAACGGTCCCTTGTGTCGCTGGTGCGCTTGCGGCTTGGTCCTCCTTTGAAGCTATTTACACACCCCACCTCACGCTGGAAGTGGCGAATCGATGCGAGCGCGCCGCGTGCTCCACGCGCGGCGCGCTCGTATCGACTTGGAGTCCAATGCGCGCAGCGGGCGGGTAGCACCTCGGGAGCTCGCTCTACCCGGGACGCAGAGAACTGCCCACAGGAGCGAGACTCCACCTCACGCTGGAAGTGGCGAATCGATGCGAGCGCGCCGCGTGCTCCACGCGCGGCGCGCTCGTATCGACTTGGAGTCCAATGCGCGCAGCGGGCGGGTAGCACCTCGGGAGCTCGCTCTACCCGGGACGCGGAGAACTGCCCACAGGAGCGAGACTCTATCTGCCACGTCTGGCGTCTGGCGCAAAAGGCCGC